TAATAATGCAGAGGTTATCAGTTCGTAAGACAAATACGAATGGTGTGTGACGNCCTTGCTATTTTCCTACGTGTTTCCCGTTCCTGCTTGCTCACCGGACTGGGAACCGGCTACAGTGTGTGCCGTCTACAATAAACGTATTGCTTTATTTACTGCGTTCTTATCTATCTACTTAACCTGGGACACAACAAATTCATACGTTTATCAAGGCAGCAATGGTTATAAATTGCAATAATCGTTTATGTAAATAGGGTGACACATGTGAATATTACCAAAGAAAATGATGAGAAACATAAAGAAGTCAGTTTTGCGTATTCGTTAGCCTGTAACAGCGGATATTGGGGTCCGTAATGCAGACAAGTCCAATGTTTGAATATGATACCGTTAGACTGTGAGCATTCTTTGACTTTTATTGCGATATCCTTTTGTTGAATCCGCTTATAAAATAAAATGCCTGTATCTAAGGACCATTCAAGTATTGACATAATGTCATTGTCGTTAAACATTTTACATTCCGAAATTCACGGAAAGTGCATCGCTTCATATTTGATTGTCCTGTGGTGATTCCCTACCAACGCTTACGCAGCAAAAGATTTATAATCTATCTCCCTGTGCGGGTTCGATCATCACACGATCGATCGGGTTTATCCATTGACCGGTCGGAACAAGGAACGCGATGCGTGCCGGGTTAACTCGAGCCAGAGCTCGTACCTTGTCCACCGACGCGAGTCTTTAGAATGCCCAATGAACTTCGACTATGCCCAGCAGGTGACAACAAAAGCATCCCAAACATGACGAACCGGTGATCAGACAGTCTCGGTACAGGTTGACGGAATCCAGGCGGTACAAATCACGGAAAATGATCCAATCAGATCGCGGAGAGGGAATTCAATTGTTTCAGGTCATGCGTGCACACGGGTGAGCGGGACAAGAGGATGTGAAGCGATGGAGCAATCATACAAGAAATTCCGATCAAGTGATCGGTTTAGTGCCAGGTGGGTAGACTGTGCAAGTCGCGAAAAATTATCCAATCAGATTGCAGGGATGGTCAGAGAAAAATTGAACAGAGTTCAAGGGTGAGAGCGTAGACAATCACGATCGAACGAGAAACAGTGCGATTACTTCATCGGTTCACATCGTCATGTCCCTCTCACCGCATTGAACTAAATTCCTCTCTAACAATGTGTTCGATTCGATTGAACCAGTTTCCGCGATTGGTGACAGCTCATAATGTTTGTGATACGTTTGTTATTACTTGGTGTCCAGCCATTTAGTAATAGCGCTTTGGCTTTGCACAGTCGATTTTCACCGGGTGTTCGAAAGACTCGAGGCGGGGGTTCGTATTAGTCCGAACGGTGAATCGGTGAAGAAAAAGTTCGAACGATGGATGTTACTACATCTGAGGTGGAGCAGTTTATTTTATAAGCTAACGGGAAATGGTTCTGAGCAGCAGTTAAGCAGTGGTGGATGCCATATACCTCTGTAAGTTGGACGGGCGATTAGAATTTGAAAAGATCAGTGCTATCAGTGTGGCCCGGTAGCTCAGTTGGTAGAGCATGCGCGTACAAGCATAGGCGGCGTCTATGCGTGGGTTCGAATCCCACAGAGACTACTGCACTCCTCACAATCTCGACATTAGTAAAAGAAGAGCACAGATGACTGAGGATAAAGCGATCAGAAGTATTTTCAATAGAGAAGCAAAAAATACAGTTGGGAAGACGAAGTTAATACAATGAGACGAAGTGGACATCCTTGGGGATAAGGACAACAATAGCAGTTTTTCATGGATTAGGACTGGAGCAGAAATCAAGGGATTTGGTAATAGAGACCGCTTTCATTTCAGTAACTGCTTCAGCACCATACGTGAGAAGCATTAGAGATAGGTATAATGGTTGGAGTATGACAGATCACGGATTACGAATCAGGCCTTAGGAATCACGGACGCGACGGAAGCACTAAATCACACTGGCACTTGCACGACGGTGTCGCACGTAATCGAGACGCAAGGAAAAAACCTCGGGAGTAGTGGTTTGTTTATTTGAAGAAATCCTGGGTTTTAAATAACATGTAACAAAGAAGTTTATTGGTTATCCAGGCGTCTACCAATCTCATGCTCGTATTCCTGACGTCGTGCAGCTTCTGTCTGTGCCGCGCGGCTTTTGAATGGTTGGTACAATCGACCTATGTATGGTTCGTTGTCCAGAAGCTGTAACGCGTAGACACTGCTGAATTCATTTGGGAAGCTTGATTCATCACAGTTCTCCAAAGACTGGAACCGGTGGCCCCGAGGACTGCGTCATCCCATAAGCTGAAATCATCATAATAGCCGATCAGGGTCACTTCCGACCTTGACTTGGGAGATCAAAGAAGTCTGAGAACTGCTTCTGAGTGGAAAGGCTGTCACTCGGAATGCCCGTCGGTATGACGGACAGCAGTGTTTTTCAAAACTTGAAATATTGGGTCTTCTTTATACAATTCGTGAGAACAGAAAGAAGGCAAATACTGCGAGGTGTCAACATTTCTTTTGATCTCCTCACTCGATGCAACGTAAAAAAAATCTGGCATTATTACCAATCCACTGTCCAATTAGCACGCACCGCTAGCCTCGAGTCTTTAGAATACCCAATGATGTTAGACTATGCACAACAGGAATGCCATCATTAAACTGGATCCTAGATAACAACAAGGATATCATAAACATGACGAACAGGAGGTGATCAGTGGTTCTCATGTCTGATTGAGGGTCAACAAATTACGCAAATCGCGGGAACCGAGCCAATACGGTATGAAAGAAGGTCAGGCGGGGGGGATTAAGTCTGTGGTGAGAGAGTTGAAACACTGAAACCATCCCACTGCATACATGTGAAACATATTGTCCACGATGTCCCACCACCACCACCACCACCATATTTTTTACAGGTATACAAACCATGGGCTTTTTGTCGTTCAAGTCATTATCTCGGCTCACCTATATATTGTGAGGAGTAGAACAACATATTTTTTTGACTGGTGTTGCACTAGTAACTGGAGATCAGATGAAGTAAAAAAAACCCTCATTCGAAATGACAGTTTGTAATCTCGTTACTTTGAAAAAACAAGAGCTTCCGATATTTAACTGCTGTCAAGTCCAGTTTGCGATACGCCAAGGCGTGACGTGAGTCCAGGTTTGAATCCATGCTATATGAGTGACCGGTAAAGAATTGCAATGTAGTTACCAGTCCGTGAGGGGAATACTCAGATAACGCAAACCACCGTAGGTATCCAAGCGAACAAATCGTGGTTATATCCTCGAAAAATATCCTTAGGTTAGAAAGTCAATTGCTTAATTTTTTTACTGTCGAACATTGCAGAAAACATACAAAGGCATATTTTCAAAAGAGCTTGCGATTGTTTGTCGAGATGCTATGAAAAATTCACTTTTTAGTGGGAGCCGATTTCCTTACGGACACCTCAGTCAAAATCGACTAATCTGTTCAGATCAGATTATAGTTCTATATTTTACCTGGAATACTACTATGTATGCACCGGAACATCCTAATATCATACTAACTTGAAGGGACAGGCGTGGAAAAACGATTTTTCGTTGAATGAAATGTTCGAGCTGGCCTCTTCCCTCAGATGTGCTCTGGTCAATTGACATTTCTGGCATCCATCCTCTGAATGGGAAACAGTTGTTGTATTTGTTACTTGAAACGGACCGCAGTTCAATAAAATAGTGTACACGTTAGTAGATATGCAACAAAAATAAAGAACAGATGGAAACCTTATTATTATCAATATTATTGTTGCGAATATTATTATTATTATAATTAGGAAGAGTATTTTGAAGTGAACCCTCTTCTTGGTGGGGCCTTTGACTTTCGGTCGTGCTTTTCGAAAGTGGACAACTATTTACGTTTTTTGCAGTGGATACTATTGACCGTACACGTTCACATCAATTCACCAATTTTTTCAAGGTCAAATGCTGACCTACAACTTCTACTTTAAGAAATCTTTCTGTGTTTTCGCGAATGACGGTGAAATCTCAGCTTTTTCTCATTCCGTGAGAAATCGTTACAAACGGTTGAGAAATAAAAGTCAAAGTTAGCATAAAAAGCATCACGCTGACTGGCAGGTTGCTCTCCGGCGACGTTCTGTCAACAGGATGGCCATTCCGTCCATTTGTTCGAGTAACATTCGCTCACTTATGGTAAAAGTCAATGAGGTCCAGAATCTAGTGCAACAGAAACAATGTAAAAGTGTGGGAGTCATTTTACTTCAGGAAAGCTGGTTACACCCAGATATTGAGGATGATGTGGTCGGATTAGACGGCTTTGATGTTTTCAGGAGTGATCGGATTGTGAAATTTCGCAACAGAGGCGGCGGAGTGGTCACTAGGTAAATCGAAGTTGNTTGGTAAATCGAAGTTGGTGTAATAAAACTCCTTTGATTTTTTGCTTGGACTGAAAGAAAAAGACTTCTCTTTATTTTCAAAATCTCTTAAACTTTTGTCTAGCTACAGTGGAGTTGATAAAGCTGTTTTAGTTGATTTCTCTATTTCCAAGCATCTTGACGCTTGTGATACATTCATTGACAGGATAATGCGTGATCAAGGGCACTACCTGCACCAAGATATCGCGAAAGCCTTGTCATTTCCCTGGACACGCTCGAAATATCAATTGCTTCCTGCGCGGACTTCCACATATCGAAACAGTGTAATTCCTTACCTAGCTCGTTTACCAGTAAATCGTCAGCATATCCTCACTCACCTCAGGGAAAACCTCGTGCCCTAAATATTTTCTCTCATTTATCAAAGTGTAGAATTTCTTATACTGTATTTTTTGTTTGTCAATTATTTTACCTATTCACTGTAAAACTCGTGAAATGCTGAAAATTCACATTTTGGGTGCATAAAGCTTTTCTTGACTTGACTTGACTTGTTCTTTGAAAATACAAATGTGTACGCCCGATTATAACAGCCGTTACTCTTTCACGATGCAACTCACTATACAAAGATACGCCTGAAACCTGCACAAGTGAAGCATTTTGGTTGTACAGTCAACACAGAATTGTCCTCTGAACTACCACCCAGGTTTCAATCTATTCCCTCATTATTTTCATAAGTCACATGTAGTTTTTGGCTACTTGCTAAGCAAGATTGCACAGATTGTACGGAACTCTCATTATTGCCCTGAATGCCTTCGCAACTCGTTCCAGTCACCCAGTCACCCTTGTTTCAGGGCACAACTGACGCATGCCCGGCTGATTCGGCGTGTACGCCACGGCAGACGCGGATGGCGTTTCTAGGCTTTGCTTTTTCTGTCAGTTGCCCCACTAGTTAATCAGACCAATCACAGACCAGTCAATCGCCCAGTGGAGTGAACATTCGCCCCCATGCAGGTTTCCGATTGGTTATCCCACTCGCCCATGTTTGTATACGCGTATAGTTGCCTTCGATCGATAGCTTCCCCAATTTCATTTGTCTACTGTATAACCAACCGATCGACCGAACTAACCAGACGCGCAGAAAGCATGCGAAGTGCGTGACATATCCTGTCGTACCGTGCCGTTCCACGGCCGGACAACGATGCTGGACGAGGAAAATTTGCCCAAACCATTGATCAAGGTAAAAGTTTTGCCAATAAATATTTGGAAAAATTGACAAATACAGGTTTATGAGCGAATCGAATATTTGTTATCACAAACTAAACCTGATCCGTGCTCATTGAACGCAAAATCTGTGGCTATTACCGTATGTTTAACGGCTATGGCAGTTCTGACTCCTCTTAAAAATCCCTACAGGCATATGACCATTTACGATGTCATCATTATATCAACGAGGCAGACTTGCTCGTCAATTTGTTGGCTAAGCCACACATCAAAGTAGGCATTAAATATCTATATTCAATCTTTCCCTCGTGTTTTTGTACAGTCTCTTCTCCTTTGTCACGATACCGTGGCAAACAAAGCGTATGGACCCACTCTACCGGATATCCCGCACGAAGTTGACGAAGATGATGTGTGCATGAAAGTGAGTGCCACAGGGCACATGTTAAGCCAATTACTTTCGAATTTTCATAGATTGTTAATTTAATTAAAGAAGAGGAATCGTTGGGAGCCACAATCAAGTTGAATGAGCGGACCGGAGCCGTACTCGTGGCCAGAGTTTTGCATGGTGGCGCGGCAGATCGAAGCAGTAAGTGCTTTTTTTATCCCCTTACCGCCAAATATGTATGTATATAAAACATTTTATGCTGTTTATTTGCTTGTGTAGGTGTATATTTATTTCAACCATTTGAAAAATGAATGCTTTTGAGTTGTCTGTGCATACATGAAACGTGTTTTTTCAATGACGTGTGTGGGTCGAATTGATTGTGGTAATCAATTTCACGTGCTCCCATGTGTCAGTTTTCCAACGGTGTAGCCATGTGAAATAGATAGATTGACTGAGTAACGGCTATCTTCTTACATTTATTTGTAAGTTTAGCAATCCCATCAAACCCTGATATATCCCCTTAGGCGCTAAGACGATGAAGGATGTCTATGTCGACCTATCTTTTAGAGGAGATAAAGTTGTTTTGAAACATACCGTGGAGAGTACGTATGACGCCGCCAGACTAATGATTTGTTTCGGGATGTTTCGTGCGGTTACCCGAACTAACCTTTTCATTGCAATACATCCGTAGTCAGTGGTAGACTGAAAAAGACAGAACGTCCTCTTTCAACCAAAATGTACGAGCATGGGGCAAAAAAAATCTTGATTTTCGTGGGTAAAAAACTACCGTTGATTGTAATTGCATGGAATTTGCTTGATTCTGGTTTCTAACACGCCGCGCCAAACACGTTTTAGGTCATTACAAGACCTCGGAATGCACAGATTTAGCGATTCACAAAGATCATGAATGATTATTTATCGGTTGAAATTTTTTATTTGTACTTAAGCTTTTATAAGTAATACACAAACTTTCAGTTAAAATGCAACTCCCGTCGCAATATTGACAGATAAAGGGCCATATTGAGCGTGCAAAAAATGTGAATTAATTGCTAAGATCATTGAGCTAAAAATCCATCCATTAGGATGAATAAAACAATTCGTGACTAGTGACTTGTGAGAAGTTCAGAAGGATCCATTATTTGTCAGTGTCCGCGCAAGGAAAACAGAGCAGGTTCCGTATACAAATTGCCGAGGCCACGCCTCTGTAGCATCAAATCCACCTTTACAAAACCAGAGTGAATCACAGGGGATCTCTTAAGGGGTTGATTTTAAGCTCCTACCACTAGTTGATTTTCTGATCTGCAACCATGTTTCCCGAAATCACTTGTCATACGGGTGTTTTTGTGGTGTTACACCACTTTTCTATGTATATAGTGTATCATCAAATTTTATTATCTAGCTTTACCTTACCCCAAAAAGGTGACAAATGTCTGTTCGGCCCACAAGTATTTTTTTAGTGGTGGGTAGTTACCGATAAAATGTACTTTCCTTGAATTGAATCTTATTTGGATACATTTCTAAGCTTACCGATCGTTTTTGACAGTCGCAAGGGATAGATAGCTCACAGAATAAAATACATGAGTCTGGCCATGCGAGCTTTTATTAGTTCATATATATATATATATATATATATATATATATATGTTTTCGGTGAATTCCTTTTCAAGCCTTTACAATCACATTTATATGAAACAAGTTCGATAAGGTCAAACAAAACAAAAATAAAAAGTTGAATGACTCATGTGTTCGGCAATGAGCCCAAGAGAACTCTACAATCATCTATCGAGTCTCACCACACCCCTCAAGAGCAATACGTTTTAGTACGTTAGCGACCGCAGAGGCGATTAGCATCCGACTCATGAAGCTTGAGCTGTGCGCACAACGCAAACTGATTCACGCTCTCAAAATCCCCTGGCCAAGGGAAGAGAAAATTGCTCGTTCATACGACCATGACGTAATCACTTTGGTTATGTGGTCGAGACTGCGCACAACAAATTTAGAGTTCTCTTGGGCTCATTGCCGAACACATGAGTCATTCACCTTTTTATTTTTGTTTTGTTTGACCTTATCGAACTTGTTTCATATAAATGTGATTGTAAAGGCTTGAAAAGGAATTCACCGAAAACATATGTTCGCCTACACTGTGTTCTCAATCAATGGGCATATTCCGTGATATATATATCAGTAAGTAGTATCTTAATAACTAGACAAAATCCTTCTGGCAGTATACAGCCAGTTTCGCGGTTCTCACCGCTCATCTAACATACGTACGTTCATGTTCAAATACACCCAGACATAAGTATATTATTGATTTGACGAAATATTACCGGAACCGATTGCTCGATGAGCGGCACGAACACCGAAGCCGTTCTTATGCATCTTGAGTAATATTGTCTACTCATTCAGATACTTCTAATTGTTTTCTGTGGTTACTGGTATTTGACCAATCTAAAAAGCATGGAATCATAGCAATGAATCATAAATTGATTGGTTCGGAAGTGCCTCTTCGCACTAGCATCCGAATTTGAAATAGGATATATGAATATGTATTTCGTCACAAATACCTCATTTGTAACACCGGGTAGATTTCCTCGAACAGCCTCTGACTTTTTTTGCCATGTAGGAGATTTACTTTATGTTGATTTGTAGGGTTCGCGAATTTAGTTGACCCTACTTGGTTTTCTGATAGAACGGTATACTTGTGTAAGAAAGTTTTTAGTCAGTCAAACACTTGCTCCAGTGGACAACCGCGGTTACCTAAAACTCTGCAACTAATCTCAACATTGCTTTTCCGGCTGCCCCACCAGATTCATGCAATGTTGCGTAGATAGCGGTGTTCAAACACCGACAGTCTGATAGGGTTGATCACGTAGAATAACCGACTAATTAGAATTATTTAAAATATGTGTGGTTGTATGATTTTTGATAAATATTATTCATCGAATGATCGGGATAAGCTAGATTTGAACCCGGGACACACCGTGCATGGTGGCCATAGGGGTTAAGTCCTCTATCTCATTCTTATGAGACAGCCTGTTACAATTCAAGGCCTTTTGTTGTTCTTCTTCTTGTTCATCAAATTTAACATTTTGTAGCAGCAATTGACGTGGGCGATGAGATCCAGGAGATCAATGGTGTGCCGGTACGTGGTCGCGATCCGATGGAAGTTATTCGAATGTTGGTAAGCTATTTTCTGTGTATCAATGTCATCTAGATGATAATTGTGAATAGCTTTCTTATCTAAAGTAAAATATCCTTGTAAATGATAGTGATTTGCAATGCTATCGCTTTGAATAATTATCTACAGGTCACTCGATGTCTAGTCGCGTAAAAATGGTCAGTAACTCATGACTCACCAAACGTACTAAAATATTCCTCGATGCTCGATGGCGTATTGGATAACATGCTTGCGTTGTGTCCATAAAGCCCCGGGTTCGATCCCCCATTGGGTCGATGGATTCTTCCTGCTGATGAGACCCAATCAGGTCGAAACAGCTGTCCAGTGCTTCCCAGCTTTTCAATTTACGCTTCATTTGCCATATACACGACAAATTCCCATTTGAAATCCTTTTTTAACTCATTCTTGACGGAAATAATGGGTCACTTTACAGCATCGGACTAGGCGTATATAAGAAATGACAGGTACTGATTTTCTGAATGGGCGTGTTCAGTAGACACCCAGGATTCCATGGATGAACAAATCGATGAAAAGGTGACGTACATTGGTTTCAAATACGTTGGATTTCATCACCAGTCTGAGTGTGACGCTTTGAACTGGGTTTTGAACCTGAGACCGTGCACATAAAATAACTGGTGGTTGTTCAAATTGTTGTTCGTTAAACTGAAAACATGTCGAAATTGTGATCAGTTAGTAGTCTCGGTGGGATTCGAATCCCTGCATGGACACCACCTGGTAGTCGGTTAACAAATTGGTCCTAATACAGCCAATCTCTTACTATGTTCCACAAAGCAGGAGTGGCATTTTCCAACACACTCTTTTTTTCATCAAACCCTACCCCAACCCAACCCCTCGATATGTTGCATTTCCGGATACTTGCTCACTTGGTCCCTGGTCGATGTACAGGTTGGTCATTGTCCAACCAACATGCTGTCACATCTCGCCAATCACATCTCACCTAGTGTGATGCACACATGACGCTGCTCGCTGATTGGATAACCCGTGTGCAGATAGTACACGAATGTGAGCAATTCAAGCGAGTGTCATTGGACGTAACAATGTGCCAGCACTCGTCTATCTAGCAGTGAGAAGCACAGTGTGTGTTAAATTCCAAAATCAGCCGAATACCGCTCAGAATTCCGTAACAAAAGCCATTGTTATTTTGAGGAAACTGCACGGTGTCACCGTGGTACAGATGGCAAAAGCTCTTCCAGACAATTATAAGCCCTACAATTTTATTGATGACCTCTGTGTTATTCCAAAGTTGGCAGTTCTATATGAATCACAAGATGGTTTCTGTTCGGTACAGCGAAAAACGGGAGCTTGGGTTATGAGAGAGAGAAGTTAATGTACCGCTTATAGCCTGTAATAGATATTTACTTGTTTTCGACTACCTGACTCCTACTTATTGCGGTTTTGCCAACGAATTAAGTATCGTTACATAACATAATTACGATATAGTCTGAATGTTCAGCTGAGCTCTTCTATTTTGTGACGTCATTCGAGTCAAAACCATCGTAGATCATGGTGGGCGCCATGTACTTAGTTTTGGAATGATTAGAAGTAAAATCCTGTTACTGGGTTAGGAAAAATACCCGAGTAAAATCTAAGTAGTTTTGAATATATGGCCATTTCGAACTGGAAAAAGGTTGGCCACCGAGTACGCTGTTCTGCCGTCAAGCTGAGGGTATCATTGCAGAAGTAAGATATTTTTTATGGATCGTTTAGTTGGTCACAATTATCCCCATCGGTTTTTCCTACTACTCAAAAGCGTATAATGCTGACTGACATGCATAGAGGTAGTTTTGGACTTTATTCGCTTTTTCGAGTTCTACAGAGGTGTGACATAGCAAGAAATTGGGTTTGACTAATTGGAAACGAAAAGGTAGTGTTTAGAGGTAAACAGGTAGCACATCTTTACACAGATCAATACGGGACAGGACAATATACAACTTATCAATTTTTTTATAACGCACATTTGATGAGCAGCAGACGGGATAAACTCCAGAGTCACGAGGCCCTGCTGTTCAGTACTGGAAACCGGTAACCTAAGCCCCGGGACTTGAAGTGGCGAAGCAGCCCTCTAGGTTAAGTGTGGTATTGGACAGGACAACAGCGAAGCTGCCTACCACCGAAGGGGTGTGTCGGTGTCGTGGTTCGAAACTGGGACTATCGGATTCAAAGCACGCCGGTGATAGTGACTAAGCCATTAGGCTACCACGGGACAACTGCTATGACTGATCGCAACAGGTTAATGAAACCAGTTTTCTGGAGAACAGTTTGCTGCTGTATATATCTCAAACAGGCACGTGTCGAAATCCATGAAAACCCTTTTCATTACTGAAGACATCAAAACCAAAATATGGTTCCTATTAGAGAACGATGTCACCATGTTACCATGGTTTGACAGTAAGGTATCTGGATGAACAGAGTTAGATGCTTGACCAAATTGATATGCGATGCTGTTTCGAGCTTGCATTTGATCATGCGCTCACCGGCTGTCTTCGGAGGCGATGGAAAATAATTTTCCTTCATTTGTTGTTGGAGNNNATTTGTTGGTGGAGTGGGGGGGGGGGAAGTCGGTTTAATGAGTAGAAGATTACAAAAAATAGATGAATAAGAATTGGTTGCATTTTTTCTGAAATTGAAAGCTACTGAATCATTGCAGTTAAAAAAAAAATAATTGAAACATTAGTTCAAACGGTAAAACTCTTCTATCTCAAATTAGGAAGCCATCATAACCAAGGCTTTGTCTCGAGATTGATCAACATAAATTGAAAAATTCTTAATCAGCAAGATCCTAGCTACATTGTGAACAACCTACTGAAAACGCTTTTGATGAGAGAAGGGCAAAGCCCACTTGTAGTAAAGATAGAGTTCNGTTCCCCCCCCCCCCCGCCTCCCCACGTTTGGATTCAATCTGTGAGGATAACACGAGAAGTAAAAAAGTGCTTGTACGTCAACAATTCGGTATCCACAGACTTCCGGTTTTTCAAAATCATGGAAATGGGCTCAGTGCCAAAAGATAGCGCAGAAATCGAGGCTCTGTTCGTTAATAAGGTTTCACTAACGCTGTCCATTACTTTTCAATTTACAGACGTCCATTTCCGGGGATGTAAAATTGAAAATGGTTCCATCGCACACAATCCGGCGAGCCAGCGAACAGAATCAAGTAAGTCACCCAGCCTTGAATCAGTATCAACCGTTCAATTTTGCGGGTAACAAGTGCACTGTTATTTGTTAAACCACAAACATGTGTGATGAAAAGTTTCGTTATTTTTGAATAGCCTTCCTCCAGACGACGCAGTTACCTGTTTGAGCGATTTTGCTCCACCAACAAGCAGGACAGATTACTCATTCACTGTCCAAGTAAGTAACAAGCTTTTCCGGATAGTTTAAGCGTTAGTGTAGCCGCGTTCGGTATGCGTTTTGCATCTTCAAAGTGTAACATGTTCATACAAGATTGGGTTAATCCGGGCCCTAACTTCATTCTAACCGGGAAGTAGTAGAGGAAGTAGACGATTTTTTCTATATGGGCAGCTGTATCTCGGCTGGCGGACGCGTCAAAGATGAAATGTCGGCACGCATACAGAAGGCTTTATTAGCATTTGCCTCCTAGGGACATCTGTGGCGCAGTCTCGACACCTGGCTGTCTGTGAAAGCTCGAGTATATGCTGCATTAGTTCGACCAGTTCTGTTTTACGGTGCGGAGACTTGGCCAGTAAGGGAACAAGATAAAAATAGATCATCGGTGCTCGAATATCAGTATCCACGTCACATTGCACGAGTCTGGTGGAGAAACCGGACGAGCAATGCTGAAGTTAGGCGTAGAGTTTTACGTAATCACGGTCGTCCACTGGAGTAGATAGTCCAACTCCATAGATTAGATCGCCATCCCATCAAGGGATTAGACAAGAACTATTGGTGTAAAATGAAATATCCTGTCTGTCACGTAGGCACCACATAACAACCAAAAAATATCACCTTTTTTGATCTTTTTATTACTGTGAGCAACAACTGTTTTCAGTATTCGTTTGTTAGTGTACGGTACATTTTTGGGTGTAGATATTCTCTGTCCGAATAAAATAACAAATTTTCTGTTGGTCCTAAAAGAACTCCGAAGGAAATGCAAATAATATCACCGGATGACATATTGCGATTCCTTCTTTCTCAACCTCGAACCCCAATCTAGCTCCATGTTCGAACACTTTTCTCCTACAGTCCCAAGTCCGATTCACTGATCCCATGCCCCCAAGCTGGTCTGGCGTTTTTACGCGGTGAGATTTTGCGTCTGGCTAACACGGACGATCCGAACTGGTGGCAAGCGGTCAAAGTGAGCTGGATAAACTGTCCGTCTGTCTGTCTGTCTGTCTGTCTGTCTGTCTGTCTGTCTGTCTGTCTGTCTGTCTGTTTTGCAGTAGACAGTTATCTATGCACAGACACTGATCATGTTTCAGTGGAATGATGGATCAATAAAATTATTCGAGCAGTGAAGAATTCATTGTAGTCTTCTTTTTATCAACGCGTTTCCAATTTCAGGTTGAATTTGCACCAAATGGTCCTGTGTCCTCACTTCTGACCTCAACTGCTCCGCAAGCTGGTCTGGGCAAAACCGGACTGATTCCTAGCAAAGCGCTGAAAGAATGGTATGTATAAATTTTACAGAGTTTTCCACCATTTCTCCCTATCATACAAACATACACACGTGCCTATCTGCTCGCTTACAGAATAACTCAATCATGCACTAATTTACTCGTGTCTTTATACTTTCATTGATTACCTTTTAACTTTATATTTTATCATATCAGTTGAGCACTACAGGTCTAATAAAAACTGAAGCAACAGGTCCCTGTGAAACACTTATCGGTTCGTATGGGCAACAGCATTTGGTTATCCGATAGAGTTGCCACAACGGATTATACATTAGATAAAATAATGCCTCATAGCAAATAACCCAGATGGTAAGGGTTTGTGGAAATAATTTAGGATAATTTTTGAGTCATTCTTATTGGAAAGTATTGCGTTTTCATACTCGATACAGTTTACGATTCTCATGTTCAGATCATTTATTCTCGGCACTCAAGGCCAGGCACGTTTAATTGACAATCATGCAGCCCAGAAACTACGTACATCGAAGTAGACAAGATATAAATTATTGTCCATACCTAAAACATTAATATGGGTGATAAATATAATGAAACCCCTTTGATCATAAAGAAAATATTTTAGTGCATCACAATCGGCCAGTACTGTATAAATGAGGAAAAAAGAAAAGACCACACTTAGAAGAATTTCATCTGGACAATTAATCAATAAAACAGCCGGTTTAACAAAATATCCATTTGTATAGTGTATGGGGTACCCGATAGGAGTAGCACCTCTGACTCGGAGGGCTGTCGGCCCGTTTGGGACATACTCCGTCCCTTGGTCTCCACCAGACGCTTATCTCTCGCCTGTGGCTCCAAGAAACTGTTTGGATGCAACAGTGGCCACACCCCGGTAAACTGATCGACAGGCGGTTGAGGGTAACCGGGAGCTCAACTCTCGGCGAGTTGGTGTCTAACGTACGTGTTGGGCGGACGAAGTCACTTTCACGACTCAATGGCCAAGGCAATGACTCCACACTTCTCAGGGATGCATGGACCCCTGTTAATGGCGTATGAGCTCCTTCCGCTCTCTCCCCAGAGGGCCACCGGCAACCATGCACCACCTTCCTGCTGCCTTGCGGTTAGCACTTGGATATGCAAAGGCTAGAGATGCCACCTCGACCTAAATCTGGGTTATGCTGTGAACGTTTCTTGTACCTAACTCCCAAGAAATTTCATCGTTATTCACTCGATATCCCTAAAGCCGGCTTATCCTCTCCCAGGATCCAACCACCGTAAGGTAAAATAAGTAAGTAAGTACCCAGTTGTGGTACTCAGAACTGATGCGTGTCAGGTTCTTTTCCGATTTGCCGTGTTAACCAACACCTCAGACCTGAATCAGGTGTTCGAACTTCTGGCTGATCAATCATGAACTTTAAAAAACCAATTTTAGATATGCCTATGTTTGTGTGGAGCAAAACTCATATCGAATACTATGAAGAACTTTTTAATCTGTTCTCGATACTGACCAGGAAATCTAATCAGTCGTCTTATGACATGGATTCGTACGATTATGTGACGAGGCGTTTGATAAATTTGGATTACAAAAGGTATAAATGAAGTATTACGTGTGAAGTTTGATTAGGTTTACTCACAAGCGGGGTTTGATTGTACGTTTATCAATCAGGAACACAATGGTCAAATGGTCGGTAAGATAAATAATTAAGGATACTCTCACTATTCTATTGAGTTCATGTGTGGTTGATTTTTCAAGATACAGAGTTGTGATTAACGAGCTTTCTAATCATTCTGGCGGTTGGAGTGGCTCTAAGGTAAAACTCTTCTGTGGAATATCTTGTGTTATAGATATTTTGATAATGAATTGGCAGGTCTCGTTAAATACTCGTTGGCTTAGGAAGCGAATCTGTTAACAGTTCTGACAGATCCTCTGGACACGAAGCAGGCAACACGGTTTCTTCTCACCATAACTCATACAGGATATATAGGTTGCTTAAACGAAGTTTTGTATATTAGAAAAGACCAAACTTTTTTTAATAAGAACACAGAAAACCGTAGCCATACACTAACTCATAAAATGTTTAATAGTAATCACTTCAAATTATGGCACATCAGGTTACTTATGTATGCTTAACCTTGCTTCAAACTTTTATTGTGCTCTTTTGGTCTCACTTGTCGGCACCTACTCGAAAGGTACAGGGTGAAGAAATAAACACACAACACATCTTTTCTCATCGGTGTTAGATTAGATAATCTACTGCTTATCAATTATTTTTTATAACGCACATGTGATGAGTAGCAGACGAGATAAACCCCAGAGTCACGAGGCCCTGCTGTTCAGTGCTGATAACCTCGGTAACCTAAGTCCCGGGACTTGCAGTGGCGAACCACATAAGTCCCCGCTAGGTTAGGCGTGGTATTGAATCAAACGACAGCAAAGCTGCCTACCACCCAAGCTGTGTGGCGATGATGTGGCTCTGTTTGTAGTCTGTTTGCAAGTTCTGCTGCTACATTACGTAATATTTTATTCTGCTTTTAGGCATGACGAGAAGCTGCAAACTGCTTCACTATGCTCGTAACAAAATACTGCTTATTTAAAATATACGTAGTACCACAATACAATAGTAGTAGTAGTAGTAGTAGTAGTAGTAGTAGTAGTAGTAGTAGTAGTAATGGTAGTTTGTCCGTTGCACACTGGTAAATCTATTCAATTGGCATTTCTTCCAACTTTCAGAACCATATTTTGTTCAGTTTTTCTTTCCAACACTTTTTCCATCCAATCAGGCGAAATCAGTATGCTACAAACGTTCCCAACGCCGTTACTGGTTCTGAAGGAGGTAAGTGGTTGATGCTGTCCGCATTCCTGTAGACAACACAATCCAAGATTAGGTGATTAGGTACAACCAATCTCTAGCTCGATCGTATCCTTCGAGGAATCCAAAAAGTGGGTACCACTGAAGAACAGATTAAAGACAGCCATTGTGATCTTACTTTTGACAGTGCTGCGGCTTTGCTATGGCAGAGGAATTTACAGTAGAGTATATCCTCCTTGAGAAACGGAAATCCGACGGCCAACTAGGGAATAACGCGGAAGTTATCCTCGGTTTTTTAGAAGAATTACATTTGCAGGGCAGGCTTTTGTCATCTCTACCCTGAGGTTTGAAATTTTCCAATAACCAGCGGTGATAACTTTTCTCCGTCAATCTACTGCCTTGAACTTTTAACGGTCTATTTCTCCTGATATGCACCAGCGTTGGCAAATCATCTGGCCGTAGTTCAATCAGATGTACCACTGTAAACAATTTTCATTACAATATCAAATCATTTTACTACAGAGATGTGAGTTTCGTTTGCCTGATTCAGCATTGCACGCGCAGCCGGCCTCTGATTGCGCACAATCTCAAGTCAACTGACACTAGTTTGAAAAGATGACTTTTTTGTGCCTGCTTCACAGGGATTATTTAATCAGTGAACAGATTTTTCCTCCTAAGAATTTTCATACAAAGTAAATGGCGTCCACTATGATCTACGATGGTTTTGACTCGAACGAAGACACAAAATAGAAGAGCACAACATGACCATTCGGACTATATTGTACTTAGGTTATGTAACAACACCTAATTCGCTGGCAAAATCGCAATAATCATGAGTCAGGTCGTCAAAAACAAGTAAATATCCCTTACTGGCTATAAGTGGTACATGAATTTCTCTCTTTCATATTCCAAGTTCCCATTTTTCGCCATCTCAAAGAGGAACCATCTTGTGGTTGATATATAACTGCCAACTTTTGAATAACCTTGACGTGATTCATGCATTTTTCAGGGCTTATAATTGTCTCGAACGTTTTCGCTATCTGTACCTAGTTGACACCGTGGAGTTTCCTCAAAATACCAAGTGGTTTTGCTATAGAGTTATGAGTTACATGTCAATGATTCGGCATTTTCCACACACTGTGCTTCTCGCTGTTATGTAGACGGGTGCTGTCACAATGTCACGTCCAATGACACTCGCTTGAATTGCTCACATTCGTGTACTATCTGCACACGAGTTATCCAATCAGCGGATGTGTCACGTGTGCGTTACACTAAGTTAGACGTGATTGGCTGAATGCGATATGGCATGTTAGTTGGATAATGACCAACCTGTACATCGGCCCGGGACTAAGCGAGCCGGTATCCGGAGTTGCAATATATCGAGGGAGTGGCATCGCATTGCTAGGACCTGGGCCATTACGTATTTGGTTTGTTTGGGTTTGCTCAAAAGTGGAAATATATTGAAAAATGCTACTTCTCCTGGGTGGAACGTAGATTAGTTGTATCTCTAATTCTCTGTCTTCGTCCGGGTCGCTTTATCTTTATCTTGTCAAAATTGTTTTAAATAAGACTTCAGTAGTTAACGAGACCGTTTACGTGCTCAGTTGTTGGGTTGTTTTTAGTTTAGTGCATCAGGTATTAGCATGTAAGGTTTAATGTTATGCTCAAGGCTTCGCCTCTGTTTGTTCCAGTATAAATTCCCAACACATGGAAAATTTCAAACTAATCACCCAAACGAGGGAAATTTGCGTAAAATATTGATTTTTCATTCCGTTGTTGTAAACATTTCATTCTGTTGCCACTGGATTGAAAATAGGGCTTTTTTATTCACTCAGACATGAGCGTTTTAACCGGATAGAATGATAAATTGAGTTGATTCACTTTAACTCTATGAACTTTTGTCCCTAGTGAGATTGTATGACAGTCAAGTTTCCTATCCAGAGCTTCTGAGGGTCTTTTCTTGAAGCATCATTTCAGAGAGAGCTCATGGAGATACAACATTGATTTTTAAGTGGATAGAGTTTACAGTAACTATTGAAAGAGCACACAGAGGGCACTTACTTTTTTACTGTTAATTAGTAATAATGTGAATAACTAAGGATCTCGAAGTCCTCAGGTATGAACTCTGATTTCTGGATTACATTCAGATGCGATTAAAATGTTTGTGATAACCGACAAAGAGCACTGGACAGCTGTTTCGTCCTGTTTGGGACTCGTCAGCAGCGCGAACGTTTTGTGT